AAATAGTTATAAGAATAAGCTTTTATATATAAGTTGCTTTCTTAATTTGCCTTCTTTATTTGCCTTCCTAATTTACCTTCTTTATTTAGCTTCCTTATTTGCCTTCTTTATTTGCCTTCTTTATTTGCCTTTTTTATTTACCTTTGCTAATTTACCTTTATATAGTAGATCCCTTATATATATTTTTAAAAAAAACCTTACAATCAACTTATTTACTTCCATACCTTAATAAAGTACCTATCTTTACTTACTACAAACAATAATATATCTTACTAGTATAGTAAGCATAACTACTACCCTCCTAAGCTACCTAATTTATAAATTAATTCGAGAAAACAATTGGAAACTATATAAGTTTTTATTTGATATTTAGAATAAATAAATTTGCTAAATTAATATTTAAATTAGGTACGACTTCCCTTTTCTAAGTAATAACGAACTAGCCGAGCGCATTAAGCAACGCTACAAAGAAGCTTTATATCAAGCAAGTTGTAGTAAGAAGTGAATATTACAATTTAATGAAGAGATTATTTCGACTTCTACTGAGTAAAATAAGATCCATAAAGAGATATTTAATAAAATAATAAGTGTAAGTAAATCTCGTATCTTTTATAGTAATATCTAAACTCAATTTATCTTAAAATAAATAATAGAAAGTTAGTTTTAATTATAAAGATGTTGTAGAGAATAATTTCGGAATGATTAGAGATTAGCCGATAGCGAACGCAAGCGATTCCTAAAAGAAAAGGAAGAGGAGGAGGAACGGTTTAAAATTTTTTTAGTAATAATGATATTAGAGTTCTTAAATGTATTTAGGGTTATAATTGAGTATTCGGTTATAGTTAAGAAGATTAAGAAGTAGGAGCTAGAAATGAGAGAGAGGGATATAAAATATGGAGAGGAAATATGGAGATTGTATATACTTAAAGGCAAGAAATGTATAGAGTACTAATTAGAGTCGTGGAGTGCGAAATGGTTGTTCTAAATTGAACGGTTCTATTAAAGTGTACGATTATTTTCAAGATTACGGACATTATTATTCTATAACGGTTTTTTTTATAGTACGATTTTCTAGTTTACTAGATTCCTATTAATGAAATAATTATAAAGTACCTAAGAAGTTATTTAAAAGTAAATAATTGCATCTAGATTTCTATCTCTAACTACAATCTTATAAATATATATATTGTAGTACCTTTCTATACTAATACTAGAATTATTATTTTTATACACTCTATGGTGTTACGTAGCTCTATACCTTCCTTGTTATATCTTCTAGTTTCTATTATTGTACGTAATATATTTATATTAAATATAGAAGAAAGGATATTACGCTTATAACTTATAAGCATTAAGTTAGAATTGGGTATAACCCTTATATAGCCGGAAGAAAGATATTAAATTCTATCCTTCTTTTCTAAACGTATTTTAAATAAGTTTCGGGTAAGATGCAGCACCTTGTTTGCTATAATTTCCAATGATATTTAACATTGAATAGTTAGTTAGCCTTGTAGAAACGATATTAATATACTAGTTGCTATAGTATTTTTATTTATAGGATTAGGATACCGCTTGATTGCGTTGAATAGATTTGGTGGTAAAAAGCGTTGAGCCTCCTTAAAAGACGGATTAATAGGATAAAATACTGGATAGTCAATGTAGAGATTGGGAGAGACGGCTGTATATCCTTCTATTAGAATAGTAAGGTTATAATCCCTATAATCCCTAGGAACACTTAGATTAGGTGAGGCCGCTACGTGTATTAGAGTTGGAATAGGAAAATTAAGAGAATTATAATATTCGTATATAGAAGTAGGTTGTAATACTATATTGGGGCTAGGAGGGTTCTTGAAAATAGGACTTATACTTATAGTTTGTAAAATGAAAAGTTAAATAAAAGTTAAAGTATAGTTCGAGAATATAATTAGTACTTACGGCGTCTCTTTCTCGAATGTAGTTTACTACCTCTAGTAATAGTTGGGTTTGTTAAAGCGGCTAGGTTTATTGAAGCAGCTAGGTTTGTTAAAGCGGCTAAGTTTATTAAAGCAGCTAGGTTTGTTAAAGCGGCTGGGTTTGTTAAAATAGTTGGGTTTATTATCTCTATATTTTATAATATTGTATTGGGGCTAGAGGTATCTTTGATAATAGTATTTATACTTAGTATAAGAGCACGTAACGGGCGAGGCACTACTGTAGCGTTGTTGACGTTCAATATAGAATTTACGACTAAAGAGTAAAATAAAAGGTAAGAGTTGTGCGCGCAGCTGGCGATGGAAGATATATTCCCAGAACCAGACCCACTGCGGCCCGCTCTTTCTTATCTAATCTACAACCAATCAAATCAATCGCAACCGTGCGATGCATTCCAGTGCAATGCTCTGCCGAGGCATAACCCGTCTGACTGGGCTATAACACTTAGTAGTAGGTTATTAGAAAGATATAATAATATAATATTACGTAGTAAATTATTTATAAAGTTTCTTCTTTGGATTTAATATTTAATATACGTTGGGTATATTGTCTTATAGTTGATTTATATTATCTAAAATAAAGGAGATAGCGAAGGAGGTAGCAGTAGTAAGATTTAGAGAATTTTAATACTCGTATATATTTATATCTTAATGTGTTGAGTGGGGGGTGGAAGTATTATTGGATTTAAAAGATTCGGAATTAGTATTAGGATTAATATCCTTTAAACTAATATTGTTGAAATTAGAACCATCCGTATTAGTATTATTAGACCTAGCTTTATCTTTAGATAACTTTAGTTAGTTAAATAATTCTATAAAGGTACATTGGAGTAGAATGCTTACTTATTATTTTAACTAAGTTATTAATCCTTTTTACCTACCTAGGTAAAATCAACTCTTATATTTATATTACTAACGTTCGTTGAAATTTAATAAATTATTTAGCAATAGCAGGGATAATTTAACGTAGCTTGCTTTTACTACGCTACTTATATTTGTTTTGGGCAAAGTTCTTATTAAAGAAGTATATAAACTAGATTGGATATCCGCCGACTTTAAGGAAGATTCTATTAATTAAGTTAGGTTGGGCTTGTTGAGCGCTTTTAATTAATGTTTGAAAGACGCTCGGGCGTTTAGTATAGAAGTTATTATTAAGAGACGCGAGGAGTAGTATATTAGTCTCTTAAATAATTATTATAGATAGTTCTTATTAATTTTAAGTTTAAGGGGGGTTTAAATTGAATAGTACTTAAAAAAGCTTTTTTAAAGGGAAGAGTTCGTTATTAGCGGCCGTATTAGGAGTGTGTTGCAAGGTACTCTCTATTAGAAAGAAGTTATAAAGAAAATAAATTAGACTTAGGGTAGATAAGTATTTTAGAAGGTTAAGAAAAATATAACGGTAATTTAATAAGTAATTTAAGGAAGTAATTTGAGTAGGCAACTTAAGGAGGTAATTAAAGGAGGCAATTGAAGGAAGCAATTGAAGGAGGTAACTAAAGGAGGCAATTAAAAGAAGTAATTAAAGGAGGCAATTAAAAGAAGTAATTAAAGAAGGTAATTTGGAAAGGAGGAAGATAGAAAGTATAAGAAAATAAACCGGTAAGGTAGATAAGAATAGTAAATTAAAGAGCTAATCGGAAGTATAAAATTATAAAGTAGTAAAGTAGATTAAAGAGACAAATTTAGGAAGTTAATTGGACGTAGATAAGGAGGGTAATAGAGAATAAAACTAATATAATTATATATATAGAGCCTATAGTATGTACAGACTTTGAATAGGGAGAAAAGAATTATAGAGAATTACTATATTTACTATATTAAAATTAGAGTAATTTGGGTATCTTTTTATAGTTGGTATATTAAATTACTATTGAGTAAGGTTTTAATGCGCGGTAATAACCGTTTAAATTCTTATTAGTAGGTCTCTTATATTTACTAGGCACAGCCCAATCCCCACTTTGTACCCTACCTAGATTGTACTATATTTAGCCTTCTAAATTCTATTAGTCTCCTTTTCTCTCTCTCCTCTTCTCGATAATATACTTAATTAATTGAATTTTTTATATAGCGAGGTAAAGTAGCGAAGTACATTAGCGAAGCAAATTAGAGAGGTAAATTAGTAAGGTAAATTAACAAGATAAATTAGTAAAGTAAATTAGTGAAGTAAATTAGCGAGGCAAATTAGTAAGGCAAATTAGCGAGGCAAATTAGGAAGGCAAATGAAGAAGGCAAATTAGCGAGGCAACTTAGCGAGGGAATCTAGTAAGGCAAAATACTACGGGTGATAAGCAAGATTTTATGTATCTTCTCCCTTAGCAGGTACCGGGCACGGACCCCTACACCGCAGAAGCGCCTTCTAATACTCTATGCAAGGCTTCCTTACATTCTTGTCCTCTCTCCCAACCTCTCGTCGTCTATTAGTCGACATTTAACAATATAATAACAATAGCCAAACGCGACATTTTACAAAACCCTACGTTCGCATCCTTCTATAGTTGCGCTTCAAGAATATTATTGCTATTACTATAACGGATCGACCCTAATTAGAAATTATTTGAGAATATTCTATTAGTATAGGCCTAAATACTTTCTGTACTTCGTTCGAATCGCTCTATAGAGACAAGGGTATTTCCTATTCTACGCTAGACGCGTTCCGTTAGCTACGTAAAGAAGGTGGGTAAATAGACGTACCTTTCTAAAACGCTTATAATTCTAATTCGGTATTATTTAAATTTATAGAATTTTACGTTTAAACTTTTATTAATACTATAAATCCTCCCGATCATCCCTCTTCTACATTCGAATTTAGGCTGTACTAGCCTTCTCGATAATATATTAAAATATTTACCCGCCCTTATCCTAGGAAAATTAGATAATTTCAATTTAGATTAATTTGAGCTACTTTTTAGTATAGTCTTTAATAATAAGCCCGACGATAAAATTTGGAATTAAGTTCGCTATATTATTATTAAGGCTACCTTACCTCTCCGATCGATAATATTATACTTACTTTAAACGCTATAATTTGTAAATATAAGTAATTTCGTAAATTCTTCCGAATATTGTAAAAATGTAAATATAGTTCTTAAGGATAAATTCGGCGTTATATACGTCGACCTTCCTAATTTCTATTATATTTTTTTCGGTTGGGTAGCAGGTTTAATAATAGTATTAGAAGTTATTTTTAAAAAGTATATAGAAAGTATTAGCCTACTCTTCCGTAATAGTTAGTACGGGTGGCCGAAAAATATAAAGGAGGACTGTGTCCTAGATTGGTTTTTTGAAATTAGTAAAAAAGTAGTAATATTTGTAAAGGAATATAATCCGATAAGGATACTGCCGTTTCTACGAAGGGTATTAATATAACCTAATAAATAGATTTTCGGTTCGATTACGGAATATAAATTGGATATCGGCTTTATAACTAACTTAGAGGCCGGTAATAATACTTAATAGCGCTAGTCGTATATCCTTATACCGGGCGAAGTAAAGAATAATCTTCTTACTAATATAGTATTAAATATATAGTTCGATTTTAGGAAATACGTAAGGGAAGTATTCGCTACTTAAAATATTTAGAATAATCGTTACTTTGTTTTAGGATTTACAATTTGTAGATTATTAATAAGGATATAGGAGTTTAATCGGTTTGGGGCTATTGTATCCAAAAAATTCGATATTAATACGGACGGCTTGTAATTCGTATTAATAGTCCTTGCGTTTCTCTAAATGAGTGAGGAGGAACTTAGGTTTAATTTATTAATTATAAAAGAGAATAAGAAACGGATCGTTTAAATTGAGAGGAATAATTTAATAGAATGTTTTATTATTAATAAAGTAATATAATACGTATATTATATATCCGGCTAGGTAACGACTTACTAGAAGGCCTATCCTGAGGGAGACCCGTAAATACTATTAGTTATTAAAGATTCTTAATAGTACTTTGAATATAATAAGGAAGGGGAATTATTGTAAAATATAATTAATATAAGAGTAGTAAATATAATTCGATATTATTATTACGAAATAGTCTAGGTACGTAGAGCCGATAATAATATCCGAAGCAACGTCCGGGGAAAAATCGATATTAATACGGGAAAGAAAATTAGGCCGGAACGCTCGCCGCTAACTAGGATATTTCCAACTAATACTTTATAAAAGGCCGTAATATTAATATAGTTAGTAAAAAACGGTTATCTAACTAAACCGATATTACTTTGCCCTCTAATAAGCGATCCTATACAGATCCGATTAGTAATACGCTATTAAATTGGGTATATCGGCGAATTATTCTTTATAATTATAGCTAACCTATATATTAGGTAAGTTCTAAAGCGGCCTTATTCATTACGTTGGAAGGTTGTATTGATAGATATAAGTCGCTATAGAGAAAGGCCGGTTTCCTTTATAAAAATATTTTTATTAATAACTTTATAATAAATGAGGATAATAATAATATTTCTTAACTTTTATTCTTAATCGATTTAAACTTTATTATTAGAAAGTAATGGGAGGGTACTTTGGGAATAAAGGGTATAATTAGTATTAGGGCGTTTATAGTAATTGGGGTCCTTCTAAACGAATAATATTCCTTTATATATAATTTCGAATTATTCTTTTAGGTCCTATTTTAAATCTACGTTTATTACGACGGGTTAAATAAGAGTGAGGTTATTAACGAATTTAACGAGTAGAATTATATAAGCCCTATAAAGTTAATAAAGGAGAAGAAGGGGCAAATTACTAATAAAGAAGATTTTATAGAATCTATAGAAGCAAATTTTACAGTATACTACCAGCCGTTAATACCGTAGGTTAATAGACTATAGAAAGTAGTATTTCCGAATGGTGCAAAGTGGAAAAAAGAGGACGAGGAATTATATAATTTGATAAAGGGGATTCTTAAGGAAGTACGAGAGGATTTAGTAAGGGAATGTTTTAGAGAGAGAAATAATTTTGCGAATTAGGGTAAGTAGGTAGGTAGTTACGTAAATAGTATTTACTAATAGGTTATTATGGTAATAAAGATTAGACAATAAATTTGAGGATTACCTATCTATACTACGTAGATTGTTAAGACGTGTAAATATAGCCGGCTGTAGTATTGCGCGGCTTTTAGTCTCCTTTCTCCTTGTAGTATAGAATCACCTCTTATCTGCCAGCCGCCGGCCTGCTCTCGGTGGACTTCCAGGCAATCGCCAGTCGTATTTCGAGTGACGGGGTAAAGTAGTGGGCAACGAAGCAACACTCTGCTTTTTTGCCCCCGTTGTTCCGTTCGCATCGGGGAGGCTTGGGAACGACTTGTTCAGTGGTTGAGATAAAGCCTGCCCGTACGATGAGGGCATAAGTCTTCGTAGCCAAGTAGTCGAGGGAGGCAAGGCTTGGGGGGGGGG